GTAGTTTGAGCAGGGCATGGTAGTGCACACCTTTAATCCCAGCACCCAGGAAACAGAGGCAGGCAGATCTCTCTGAGATCAAGGCCAGCCTGGTCTACATAGTGAGTCCTAGGCCAGCTGAGGCCCTGTGAAAGGAAGGAAGTTAGAAAGATAGGGAAAGAAAAAGAAAAAGTATAGTTTGAGTACTATTTGCAACATGAAACTGTTCACCAGGCAGTTAATTGACTGCTTTTTCTAAAATAAAATGTGGCCTAAATTCTCTGTAGGTTCATATGTATGCATATGTGTGGTACATGGATAGTATTTGTTAGACATTTTATATATAGGATGATTTAGCATAGTTTTATTAGAAATTTAAACAATTGAGGACTTCAAATTTGGCCCTCACAATTCAAGTAAACATTTTTTTGAAATGAGAATTCAGTCTACTTGTAAGATAATATTTTCTCGAAGTTCTGAGTATTCATGGCATTAGCTTAAGAAACTAGTCCCAGTTTTCTGAGAAATGTGGACAGGAAAAGGAGCCTCTATCCTATGTTCTTTTCTTTTTCCTCCCAAGGGAGGTTCCAGTCTCCTACATACTTGTGTTCACTGTTCCGCAGGTAAAATGATTGGGTTAGCTGCCTTTTCATCCCCCTATATCCATCCCTTCACTATGAAATTTCTGCATAAAATGTTGGTTCATTTCTAGTTATAAGGACCTTCTTCCCATCTGTCATCCCAGAAAATTTGTGAAATGGACCCCAGCAAGCAAGGTGAGTATTACTGTTGGGTTTCTCCACATAGTTTACAGACAAAAATTTAAACACAAATGTGCTTTCAGATCTCTAAGACACAGAGGAATGGACATTTGGCAAATTTCTGGATGAAAAATAATTTATTGGGTGATTAAAATGAGGTTCTCTCTTCTGAACAGAAATCCATAATGTGTTGAAGAATATTTTGTCTACTGACTTTGAAACACCAGAAATAATTTAGCAAAATAGTCAACATCAATATAATTACATTTAAAATTACTGTTCAAACCATAAAATCTCATAGTTTGACATTAAAATGATATCAATATAGATGTTTTCTTATTAGGTATAAGTTCATCATACAACATGGAGAGACAGATAAGAGACAGGTCCTCAGCTGTCAGTATATAAACATTTGATAAATAGATGTGGGGAAACGAATTCCCCTGAATCCCAGCATCTCTGAATGCCAAGTTAAGCCCAGGACTGATCTATGCATTTTAATTCCCCTAGCAAATCTAGATTGTTAACCTTAGTTGTTTGATATAAGGTTCTACGATCTCACATTATTTATTGAAAACAACATTATAAATGATTCAAATTATCTTTGAGCTTTCCAAATTTGAGCCCTGTATCAAGATGTTAAACACAAAGCACCGCATGGCCCATTCAAAGCTTAATTTTTCTCCCCCTGATACAGTGTTTCTTGAATTCAGTATGCACTCAAAGGGCTTGTTAGATATCGGACTCCATCTGCAAAGTGTGATTCAGTAATTCTGAGGTGGATTCTGAGAATGTTCACTATTAAGTTCCCAGGCAGTACCAATACTGCTTTCTTGAGAACGTGTTTTGAGGACCACTAGCCTAATATATCTGTTTCTGGACCTCAAACTCAGTGATGGGCAGCTGAAAGAGAGCATATATTAATCTTAGTATCTGTGAAAAATAAACAGTAATATGGCTGAGCAGAAGTAAGAATTGTTGAAAGCCAAAAATTGTTTCTTAAATTGTTTCTGTTAATAAGAAAACACGTAGCTTATGTTGTTATGGCTTTAAGCAACTAAAACTACTTTGTTTATAGCTTGAAGCCTGAGTCATACGGCAGTTTCTCCATTTCTTGAGTTTTCTCCCACTATCAGAAGAAAAAGAAAATGAAGCCCTGAGGAGGTGGGGCTGGCAGCAGATCACCTGGGACACTCACTCATTCTCCATGGTGCAGGGCATCACAGCTTGCCGAGTCACGCTGCATAATTTCATCAGATGACTCTGCAAAGCATCATTTGACAGGAGTGATGGGCCAGATGGTCAGGCAGTTACAAACCACTTCTCCACCCAGAGCTGCAGCTAGGGATCTGCAAGGCCTCTGGTCTGCTGATTCTCTGTATCTGCTTGGTACATCTGCGAGGAATCGGGGCACAGAAACTGGCCAGTTTCCAGAGGAACAAAAAATGTTGGACACCACACCTTTCTAAATTATTTCTCTCCTATTATACCTACTCCTAGTGTGATGGCCTTCTCCAGAAAGAGGCCAAGATATTTCTGACTTCTCCCATTATCTACCATTGCACTCTTAACTAAAAACTAAACATTTTTAAAGCATGAAGAAACACTGGGTAGCCAGAAAAATAGAACAAATTGTAGGTTCTTTGATGTTTGTGTAGTACGTATTGAAAAGAGGAAAGACCAGATATGAAAGAGTTTGGGAAAATAGCTATTGCTTGGGTGACAGTTTTTAGGACGAGTCCACATCCACTTTATGTAGGTGTCTTTGACTCATGACTATATATTGATTATTGAATCAATATACAGTTAGTGGTTCCTTGGTATCCACAGAGAATTGTCTCTAAGACCTTAGAGACGCAAATATGCAAATGCTTTCATTCCTTGCATAAAATGTCATAATACTCGCACACATCTGTGTATATGTTCCACAAACTGAAAATTATTCCCAGATTATTTATAATGCCTAATAAAATATAAATGCCATGGAAATAGTTATTATATATAATTTGTGGAATAATTATAAGAAAAAAGTCCATGTTCAGTACAGATATAATTTTCTGATTATTTCTGATCCTCTGCTGATTGAATCTGCAAAAGTGGAAACCTCCAATACAGATGGCCAGCTGTATATTGAGGTATAGCTTGTGGTATCCTCTAATGCCTCATAGATGGGTTGGGCCTGGCTCAGCATCATGACTATCTTCTGTGGCCTTGATGACCTCCCCAGCTATGAGATTTACAGTAGCAGATGTAAATTCCCTCCTCTGAAGCAGGCCTCAAATCTAATCAGAAATCAATTGGTTACCCCATAACAGACTTGCCACTATTGCACCAATGGACTCATCTTGCCTGGCCAGTCAGTATTGTTGCATACAAGGTATGAAGCTAAGTAAGACTGTTGGTGACAAGTCTCCCCCAACAGCCTGCACGGAACCTTCTGGTTTTATGGACTAAAACTTTATGATGAAAAGTTACACATGCCCAGAGGCAGTCCTATCCACCATATTTGCAATCAAGATGAGCATGCCCAGAAGTGTTCCTATTTCCCATTTTAACTTTCAAGCATGTGCTCCATGGCCTTGGGAGCATGCCTAAAAATATGCCTCCCATCTTTCTTTCTAGACCTATGACCTTAAACTGAATGTCAGGAGCATACTGTTTAACATGCTCAAGAATTTGGCTTTCCCTACATACAAAGTTCCATGCTTCATTCCCAACACTGAAAATGGTTATACATAATAAATGCATGTAATTTTGTTTTCTAATAAAAAAACTATGATTAAATAATCCAAGGAAAGAATAGTTTATGCTATGCTCAGATGTCATCACCAGGAAGTAGTGGCCCCTTTCTAAGTCCATCTCTGATCTCCTTTTTTGTGTATGTTGGTTTCATTCTCAAGGTTCCACCCCAACAGGAGAGAGTAGTTGCTGCTCTAATTCATAATTTCAAGTTTAAATCAAGCAGGAAAAAAAATCAGTCTGTGTTTTAGTTTGCTTTCTGCTGCTGTGATAAAATACTGACTAAAAGCAACCTAGAGAGGAAAGGGTTTATTTCAGCTTATGGTCATTAACTGATCATCAGCTGATTGATCACTGAAGGAAGCCAGAGCAGGAACTCAGACAGGAACCTAGAGGCAGAAACTGAAGCAAAGACCACAGAGGAAGGCTGCTTACTGGTTTGTTCCCCCTGGCTTGCTCAGCTACTTTTGTTTTTGTTTTTGTTTTTTATCTACCTTTATTTTATGTGTGTGAGTGTTTTGACTGCATACTTGAAAGTGGATCTATGTGTGCAATGCCCACATGGGTCAAAAGAGGGCGTTGGATCTCCTGGAACTGAAGTTATAGAGGGTTGTTAACCACCATGTGGGTGCTGAAAATCAAACCCAGGTCTTCTGCAAGAACAGCCATTACTCTTAACTGCTGAACTATCACTCCAGCCCCCCATACTCTTTTGAGACAGGGTCTTACTATGTAACAATGGCTGACCTGGATCTCATTATATAGACTAAGCCTAGAACTCTGCCTCCCAAATGCTGGGATTAAATGCATGCACCACCACACCCTAGCTACTTTTCTTATATGGTCCAGACCCACTTGCCCAGGGATGGCACTGTTCACAGTGGGTTGGCCCTTCTGCATCAGTTAGCAATCAAGAAAATGGCTCCCAAACATGCCCACAGGCTAGTCTGACTGAAGAAATTCCTCAACTCAGGTTCCCTCTTCCCAGGTGACTCTAGTTTGTGTTAAGATGACAAAAACTAACAAGCACCTTGTCTGATATTGAACAAAGAGTCTCTGAACAAAGTTTCAGGGCCATATGGAGTGTCCACAGTGGTGCATTCACTGATCCATATAGACCAGGGCTTCATTTCCCCATGGACATAAGACAGTTGGGTTAAGTGTAAAGTTTCATGGACTACAATTAGGGGAAGGTAACTCACCAGAAGATCTGTTAAGGTATGCTGGGTGGCTAACGGAGCATATGCCCTATTAGAGGGACTTTGCTACATACAGCAAACACCACCTGGATTCCCCACTTCTTGGATCCACTTCCTCTTCTTCTTCCTGACTCCTCTCTGACCCACGTGTACATTCTAGACTCTCCCCTGCCTTGAAACTCAATCTTCAGTTTATATGCTGTTTAACACTGACTTGTTCACCTTCCCCTCAGATTAAGGGTCTTGAAAAAAATCATCTTCTTTTAGGCTTACTCTTTACCTTACATTCACTGCTCAGTTCTCAGCAGTTTGATGTTTACTCTCATGGCTCTCCTGGACCTAAGACTTTCAAGAATCGAGTTCCCTTATAAACAGATGGTGCTTTAGCTCACAGCTGATCCTCTTGTGGCCTGCAGGTCCTGAAGCATTAGCTTGTCTGCTTTCTGAAACTCGCCTCTTTGACCTTCGGCTGTTACTTTCTCCTACTTTCTTGGGCTTTCTTTCTCACATTTCCTCTTGTGTTTCTCTTCCTCTTAGTTAATTAACTGATTGTACTCCTCCGACTGCTGCTACTTACCCTGACTTTCTAGTCACCAAATACATTCTACTTAAGCAACCTTAATGGATGGACATAGTATTGTCCACATCTAGCACTAATAACTCCTGAATCTCCAACTCAGTTCAACTAGCAGACTTAACTCATGATACACAGTCAAAACTTGGGTACTTGATCAGTACCCTGTGTGGCTCCCCTTCCAAACATTCTCTAAAACTGAGCTGTCAAGAGTCACTAGCCCCATATGACTATGGAGCATTTGAAATTTGGCCAATCTGGACTGAGATGTGCCACACATGTAAAATATCTTGAGGATCTAATAAGATACTTTAAAAAGAAATTCCTAAAATAAATATTATGAATATATGTTAAATAATATCTTGACATCCTTGCTAAAATTGGACCCCAAGATTTTCCTGTATCCCTGCTATCATGTAATCTGGAGCAAATAAATAAAAAATCAGGCATCAGAGCCACCCCTCTGTACTGCTTCAAACAAGGCAGGGTCTCCTTGACAGATTGTGGCAAGATAGTCTTCAGCTAAATCAGTCTCCATTGATTGGATTTGTCACAAAATAATGAATAGAAATTTATTTGACGTTTCTGTTTGTGAACAATGGCCTATATACATACCCATATATTGGCAGATACTGATGACCAATACCAAGATCTATAGATGACCTTATTGTCTATAGATAATTCCTAAAAGTCATTTGTGAGTTTCCTGACAATTATTCTAGAATCTGTAAGTTCCTTTTGTAGAGAAAGATTTCAAACTTCAACTTACATCATGTCTACTTTAAAGTCCTGTTCAAATGAACATTGCTATGCTTGCCTCTGGAGTGTAGAGTTAGAAATGTGCTAGAGTTGTGTTACAATGTGCATTTATAACAAGCTCCAAGTGATGCTGACGTTGCTGGTCCAGCAACAACACTCTGAAGACCACTGCTTTGAACCAGCAGTAATCAGATTTAGCAGGCAATTTCAATTTTCTAAAATAAGCTAAACAACTAATGTATAAGACCTTATAACGCTTTATTGAACTACACTGAAGATATGAATATATGGAGAGGTCTACTCTATAGTTTTAAATTTTGCTAGCTATGAAGACTGGTCAATTCAATCTTCAAGAACAAAGGCCTATTGTGTGACAACCAAAAGTTCTGCTGTAAAATTATTGCATGTCTTTTTTTGTTTTACGACTAGGTCTCCTTGTAGCCCCAGCTGACCTGGAACTCATTATGCAGACCAGGCTGGCCTTGATCTCACAGAGATCCACTTGCCTCTGTGCTGGATTGAAGGCCCGTGCCACAATGCCTTTTTAATGTCTTTTAACTAAGTGGAAATCAAATTTTCAGGATCAATGAAACAAATTTAAGTTGAGGTCTTCAAATAAAGAGAAACAATTTAGTAAGAACACTACCTGAATGTTCTTACTTAAATCGTACTAGTATTGCATGACAATTCCTAGTTTCTTTTGATGGAGAAACTGACACTCAGAAGGTATACTAATATCCCCAGAAAACAGAGTGGTAGAACTAAGCATGGTAGGTTCCAGTGCTCTGTTTTCTCCTCTACACCGTGAACTGGGTAAATACCTTCTCAGGACCTGGTAAATGCTCAGAAATGCTAATCATTGCTGCAGTGATGCTAGTGGTGTTAACTCTCAAAATATACTAATAATTTTTACTATAAAATAGCATATGCCTTTTGTAAACAATTTGTATAACAGTAACAAATAAGAAAGAATTAAAACATGAATTTAATGTCACTAGAAATTAAATTTCTCCAAGGTGAAGACTTTTATACATTCAGGATGTAAAATCATATTAGAACCATTTAGCAACAGCTGGATAGGTACTTGCTAACCCATGAATGGGTGGATAGCTTTTTGGCCTTTTTCATACATGGATAAGTACATGTGTATACATAAGAGTGGAATTTATGAACAAAATTAGGTGTGTATTCCACATTTTTTGTTGTGGTTGCACAAAGCCATTGCCTTCTGAAATAAAAAGTGAGTGGACTGATAGAGGAACACGCCCCACTTTTGGCAGCTTCAGAGGGTTTTCCAGTATCACCTCCAGCATTAACATACTGTAAGTTCATTATTTTATTATATTCTTAAAAGTTTATTTTGTGTACAGAAGGGTTCATGTGTGGCACAGCATACACATGGAAGACAGAGGACAATTTGTGGGAGTCACTTCTCTCCTTCTACCTTGTGGGTCCCAGGTTTTGAACATCAGGCTTGACAGCAAGCACCTTTACCCACTGAGCTATCTTGTCCCTCTAAGTCCATCATTAGTCTTTTACAGATTTAAAAAAAAAAAGCATGCTCAGCTGGGCATAGTGGTGCACACCTGTAGTCCAGCACTTGGGAGGCAGAGGCAGGCAGATCTCTGTGAGTTTGAGGCCAGCCTGGTCTACATAGTGAGTTCCAGGACAACTGGGGCTACAGGGAGACCCTAATTCAAAGAGACTGAAAAAAAAAAGCATGCTTTCTATGTTAATATTCTCACCTATAAAACAAGACTAGATGGTCACTCAGATTCTCCTCCAGGTGTGGGGTGTGTTCAGTGAGACAGACATTTACCCACCATATTTCATGTTTTCTTTACAGAGGCTCTTAACAGTATTGAGAATTCTATCTATAAAACAGCCTTCAAATTATGCTCTGTGCAAACTCTGTGGCAATGTAAGTACAAGTTATCTGAAACACTCAAGACAATCCAACTTTGATGATGCTAAATTTGTGGAGAAAAACAAAACTTGCCCCATGCAAGTAGCTGCCAGGTTTGGAAGTCTGGAGCAGTGCACTGAACCCATTGGTAATGTCTAAGCTGGTGGGGTGGGGAGAGGCCATTGTGAGCTTTCTACCCATAGGTCTCCTTACTGACAACAATAGGAAAGGTGGACCAGGACTTTTAAAAATATTTTTATTGATTCTTGAGAATTTCATACTATGTATTTTTGTCATATTCAGACCCCCTCCTCATGTCCTTTATTTATTTATTTTTAGACCTATCAAGTCTAATTTATGTCCCTAAATGCTCTTGAGTGTGGGTCCATCCCCTAAAGTCTGGTCAATTTAACCAGTGTCACAACCTTAAGGAAAGCAGACTCTCCTTCTTCCAACAACTGTCAATTGCCAATAGTTCTTCAGTTAGGGTTCGGATTTCTTGTCCACCTCCCCTCCTCCTCTATGCTAGGATTTTTGACAGCTTAGCTTGCATAGGTCTTGTGCAGGCTGTCAGTATTACTGTGAGTTCATATATGGAACTGCCCTGCTGTCTGTAAAACACTGTTTCCCTGTAATTATCCACTATGGCTCTTAGAATCTTTCCATCTTTTCTTCCAATAATGACCTCTGAGTCTTAGGAGGTGTATTCATCACTTTTCTATTGTTGTGATAGAAACACTGACCAAAACAACTTATAAAAGGAGAGTTTATTTGACCTTATGGTTCCAGGGGAATTACAGTCCATCATGGCAGGGAGGCATGGTGGCCGGAGGTGGCTGGAGCAGGAGCAGCAGAAGTTGAGCTCTCACATCATCATGCAGGCACAGGAAGCAAGAGAATGATGGGAGATCCAGCAAGGCTTAAGAACTCTTTAAGCCTGCCCCGAGTGATGTGCTTTTTCCAAGACAGCCATACCTCCTAAGACCTCCAAAACAGCACCACCAACTAGGGACAAAATGTCCAAATACTTGGAGCCTATGGGGGACATTTTCATTCAAACCACCACAGGAGGAGAGGGTGTAATATAGGTGTGTCCCATTTAGGGCTATGCATGCCACAGTCTTTGATTCTCTGTATGTTGATGAGTCTGGGTCTCTGTGCTAATTGTCATCTGCTACAAGAAGTGTCTCTGCAGAGTTGAGACATGCATTAATATTCTTCTATTTCTACAGCCTCATTTGTTTGTTTCCCTTCAGGATGCCAATATCAACACAAAATAAAATTATGGAAAAAAAGACATGCATGGTGGCTCATGCCTTTAATCCCAGCATTCAAGAGGTAGAGGCAGGTGAATCTCTGTGAGATCGAGGCTAGCCTGGTCTACATGGTGAGTTCTAGGTCAGCTGAAGCTACAAGGAGACCCTGTCTCGAAAAACAAACAAAAATTATTTTAAAAATCTGCTAATTTAGACTCTAACCATGAAAATTTAAAATTCCTTTTGCAATGTAAAATTTGAATATTTGAGCTGTAGCTCACATACCAAGTAAGCTTCAGTAAAAGTCCATGGACTGAGAATGTTTAAAGTATCAGGACAATTCCCTGAGAACTACCATTTTTAATCAAAATTATATATGATTAAATGCCATAACTTTCTTGTATTCCCATCTAGGCAAAATTTAGGTTAAAAATTATCCTGTAAAAACTGTCCAAAATGAAATAAATTGGATCTTAGCTATGAAAACCAACAAACATTCACTATCTATAAACTTATTTTCTCACATGTTTTTACTGCTTTTTTGTGTGTATATAGCCCAAACTATCTTTGAAGTAATTATGTAGCCCAGGCTGGCCTTGAACTTGCAGTCATCCTTCTACTTCAGCCACTCAAGTACTGGGATTACAAGTGTGCACACCAGACCTGACTTGTTTATTGCATTTTAAAAACTACTTCATATGAAATAACTTAAAGGATGTATCATTTCAAGCATAGAAGTTGTACTATGCATGTGACATTTCCACTGAAAATTCGAGGGGTTTTCATGTTTTTTTCTACCTGATAAGTTATTTGGACTAGTGGTTTCCAAATTGTGCTTCACAAAGTGCATGTGGTATAAGGTAGGGCATAGCAGGGGTAGCTAGGAAGGAAGAAGATACTCACAAACCAATTTCTCTTTTTGTTTATTTGCTTATTTGTTTTTGAGACAGGGTTTCCCTATAGCCCTTGCTGGCCTGGAACTGTGTAGACCACACTGGTCTCCATCTCACAGAGATCTGCTTGCCTCTGACTCCCAAGTGCTGGGATTAAAGTCATGTGCCACTGTGCCCAACCAGTTTCTCTATTTTCTATATTTCAGTGCCAGACTTCTCTAAAGAAGGGATTTTTTAGCTGTTAAAAAAACATTCATTGCTCTAAGGCTGGTGAGATGGCTCAGTGGGTAAAGGCACTTGCTACCAATTCTGATGACCTGAATTCAATCCCCAGAACCTGAATAGTAAAACCAACTTCTGTAAGTTGTTCTCTAATCTTCAAAGGCATTTCATGGCTTGTGTATACACACACACACACACACACACACACACACACACAAAATGTAATTAAAAAAAAAATCACTGTTCTAGAGCCCAGCATGGCGGCACATGCCTTTAATCCCAGCACTTAGGAGACAGAGGCAGGTGGATCTCTGTGAGATCAAGACCAGTCTGGTTTACAAAGCAAGTTCCAGGCCAGCTGGGGGCTACAGGGAGACAAGAAAGAAATAAAGAAAGAAAGGAAGAAAGAAAGAAAGAAAGAAAGAAAGAAAGAAAGAAAGAAAGAGAGAGGGGAGGGGAGGGGAGGGAGGGAGGGATAGAGGGAGGAAAGAAAAATAGAAGTACTCAATCAAGGAAAATACTAACAATACATATAATCAGTGGCTGAAAACTTCCATCTAGAAGACATCCAAACAAACATTTGGGACAAAAAAAGTCCCAACAGAAAGATAAAGTACCACATGAGATCCAAGTAGCAGAATCCAGAAACTATCGCTGTGCGAATCTTGTGAGATTAATGGACAGCACCACTATCTGCTTGGCCCAATATAAAACTCTCACAGAAGACAAAAACACCCTGCATTCCATACACCAGGCCCACGTGACAAGGGCCTATGATCACTGATAAACGAGTTTACAGCCACTGCCACCTGTGACCATGTTTTAAAGGGTTGATTAAGCACTGGAGTGGGTGTTTTGTGAATCTATCTGGCCACTTGTGTGTGTATATAGTGCCTGCTTTGCTGAGCTGTAACTTTCATTTTCTTCTGTCTCTCCTCAGTTTGGTTTAGCTCATATAATCTTGGTTCAGTGGAACTTGTCCTTGTGGGTGAACATTTTAAAAATTATAGAGAGAATACAAAACATTTAGATTTTTTACGAAAAAAAAAAGAAGAAATATTACCCATAAGCCTGCCCCCCAGAGGCAAGCACAATTTGAATCACAGGCACGGTCCTTATTGCTGTTTTCTTTGCTAGTTTACTTTTTTAAACGGCACAAATAATATATAAATACATTCTTGAGTTATTTTGTCATGATTTCTGTCTTAAATACTAAGCTTTGAGGATTTTAAAAATTATTGGACTTGTTTATAACAGGCCTCCTGTCTTTGATAAATTGTTGGATGAAAGCTATGTAGCTAGTAGACAAAGCACAGTCAGGCTCTAACCTAGAGCCTGTGAGTATTTTTTAAAGGGGGCACATTTTTTTTCCTTGTAATCATCATCTTTGTTGTCTGGGTTCCAGGCAGGTGAGTCTTAAGGAAGTAAGATTGTTTGCTCCATCAGGATAGGACATGTCTGTACAACCAACCCCTGACACAGTGGTCACCACAAAGAAACATCCAATAAATATCTGCTGAATGAATGAATGAGTGAGAAAAACATTTTAATTCAATGCTCTGTTGTGCCAAATTCCAAATATCTAAAAAGGGACTACAAAAAGCTGGTGGTTGTAGTGTAATATATGAAATGCCCACTGGCAGTTACAGTTTTCACAACTATGTCACCTATATATCTCTGTCCTCAATACCCTTATCTGTGATTTGTGGCCCCACAGCTTGGGATCAGGTATTTTCAAGCTCGGCCTGTGGTTGCTGCCCTGGTTGCCCTCTCAGGAGACAGCCCACTTACAAAGTACAGAGGTAACATGCATAGGAATGTGTGTGCTCTGAAGTGGTGATCCTTCACCCCCAGCGCATTGTCCTCCCTGCTCCCTTCTGCTTCCCTGTCACAATGGCTCTTGCTCTTCAGCATGGCTGGCTTGTTTCTGTTTAGGAAAAATATGTAAGATCGTGAGGCTCTCAGATTTAAAGATTTGTGCTTTCTAGTTTTATATTACTTGGTTCACTTTGACATTTATGATTTAGTGATTATCCAGAGACTACTACTATTTATTATTATTTTTTAATTGCGATGATCGATTTTTATCTTGCCATTCACCAACCTGCACCACAGAGATCTCAAATTATCAAGGAGTTGAAATGTGAATGAGCCTTTATTGGTCATCCAGTGGTCTGAACGAGAAGGCCTTCAAAACAAGAAGCAAGCAACCAAGAATATAGCTCTTCATTTTTTTTATACTCACAAAAAAAATCTTGCCTCAAAGCTCATACTCTTCAAAGATACAAGGATTCAGCTTAAACGTTTTTTTTCCCTTTATGCGTCTAGCTCTTTTTCAGCTCTATGCAGAAAATAACAAGGGAAGCAGTGATTCCCGGGCACGCATGACTCGAAGGGTTTTGAGAAACTTACTAACAGACCTACAGCAGGTAAATACAAATACCTAAAAATTCTCAGTTGGTATCGGTTATATTAGCCACATGTATTACTAGGGAATCTGTTTACGACTTCTGCCTGTATGTCCTGTATGCAACCATATCTTCTTTAGAGCCATTGTATTATCTGAGTATAAGCTTATATTAACTTTAAACTGATCTATTTACAATTGCATCCCAGCTGGTTTCCTCAGCTCAAGCCTAAACCATCTCTGTTTCCTCCTCTGCATTGAACCAGTGACTTTTCTAAAATGTGTCACCCTGTATTAGCCGGCTTTCCATTACTGTAACAGAATAACTGAGATGCTCAATTTAAAAAGAGGAAATTTTACCTTGTGTCATAGCTTTGGAGAACTTGGCTGATGGTCAGTCAGCTCCATTACTTTGGATCTGTGGCAAGGTAAAACATCGTGATGGCAGCATGTGGAAGAGGAAACTGTTCATCTTATGTTGGTCAGGAGGAAAGAAGAAGAGACTAGGATCCCTCAGTATCCTTCAAGGGCATATCCCCAAGGAGGCCCCATGTATTAACATTTCAACTACCACCCAATAGTACCAAGGTGGCCCTACACCTTTAACACATGGCCTTTAAGATTCAGTCTATAGCCGGGCGTGATGGTGCATGCCTTTTGTACTGGGTAGCTTTAGTGTCAACTTGACACACCTAGGTTTGAGGGAGCCTCAATTTGGGAATTGTCTTCACTGGACTGTGGCCATGTTCATGGGGCACCTTCTTGATTGTTGAGTGATGTGGGAGGGCCCAGCCCACGGTGGGTGGTGCCACCCCTGGGCAGGTGGGCCTGTGTTGCATAAGAAAACAAGCTGAGCATGGCCCGGGGCAGCAAGCCAGTAAGCAGCGTTCCTCCATGGCCTGTGCTCCAGCTTCTGCCTCCATGTTCTTGCCCTGAGTTCCTACCTTGGGCTCCTTGATGAACTGTGACCTGGGAGATGTAAGATAAATAAACCCTTTCCTCCCCAAGTCTGTAGTGGTCAGAGTATTTTGTCACAGCAATGAAGAGACAAACTAGGACACCTTTAATCCCAGCACTCAGGAGACAGAGGCAGGCAGATCTCTGTGAGTTCGAGGCCAGCCTGATCTACATAGTGAGTTCCAGGCCAGCTGGGGCTACTCAAAAAGACAAAAAAAAGATTCAATCTATAGCATGAAGCCTAAGTTCATGAGTATCACATGCAAGCTTACACAGTTTGACCTAATCCTCTTTAGAAAGAGATGAAATTCTGGTTCTCATACAAAAGAAAAGAAATAAATGTCCAAAAAAATCTATGTCATTATTAATTAGAACAAGGCAACCATAAGATGTCACAAATAACTAGAAGGGAAAAAGTCAGCTTCATAATATTAAAATGAATTCATAGGACACAAAACTGACTTTTGAAGGAGAAAATGATCCCTAAACCAGGACAAAACTTAGATACAGGACTAAGACTTATTTGCATTGTTATCAGTTTTCTACTAACTAACTCTAATATCTACAGTTATAAAGTACCTACTCAAGCACAAGCTATATTACTTCTGCAGCTTTAGATAAGCACCCTTGAAAAGATGCCTAGCAGTCTCCTGTGCTTATTCTAAGGTGTTTAGTTTTTCCTTATACTACTTATGTCCTTTTAACTCCTGAATATCAAAACAGATTCTGTGCCTGGCATGCATCTGACAGCATCTTCATCCACCAGCACCGCCATTCTATCCTTTCATTTAATAGTGTTTACATTTTAAGATCATTCTGATGGTCACCTTCTCACTCAAAGCTTAGCTTGCTGTGCATAACTTTGGTATAACATTTGTCAAATGTACTGATGCTTCCCTATCATCATCAGAGGCCTGATTTCCTAATAACTCATCCATGTTTACTTCGTCAGTACTTCGAATAGTGCCCTATACTGAGGCCTTCAACAAACTCCTAATAAATGCATAAATAAAACCCATTCCTCAATACCCGTATCAAGGTTTCCCTTGTTTAGGAAATAATGACAAGGAAAACTACCTATGTTCAGTACAGACATAATACTCAAATATTTTTGATCCATGATTGGTCAAATCCATGGATATGGAAACTGAATATGGAGAGATGACAACATGCCATTGGGTACTTTTATCCAGATTGAAACTGATTGGAGACATTTGGCCTTCTCGCTCCTGGGTACGTATATTGTTCTTTAGACGTCTAAAGTCTTCTGTCATTTGTCTATATTTTTATTTTATTACTTGTGTATATGTATGTACACAAGTACACTGGACCACGTGTGCACGGATAGAGGCCAAAGGTCAATTTCAGACATCTTCCTCTGTCACTTTCTACCTTTTTTTTGAGGTAGTGTCTCTCACTGAACCTAGAGTTCACAATTTCAGCTAGTGAGCCTCAGGGATCTGCCTGTCTCTACCTCCCCACCAGCCCCAGCACTGGAGTTATAGACATGAACCACCACACTGGGCTTTCATGTGGGTGCTGGAGATCTGAACTTAAGTCCTCATGCCTACATGGCAAGCACTTTGCTCACTGAGCCATCTCCCAATCTGTTTCTTTATGTCAGTTTCCTCTCTGTTCTTTGTGTCTCCCCCCCCAAACCCCGACGCATGTCACTGACTTACATCTTTGCTCTTTTGAAGCTGTCTCATAAATCCTGCAGGTGTTTTTTTAAATTCCATTTTATTCTTTCTTCTTCTTTTTTCTCCTCTGGCATTATGTTTTCAACCCCTTGTCTTTCAGTTCACACATCCATTTCTCTGTTCAATCAGAAATTCTCTTTATTGTGATTTTCATTTTGTTCACTGTATTTTTCTGCTCTGGTATGAGTGTTAAATTTTTTATTGCAATTTCTCTTAGTTTTACTGATAACTTCCTGAATCATTTATTTATTCACATTATTTATTTATTTATTCACTTCCTTGAGACAGTTTTTTGTATTTTTTTTTCTCAGCCTCTTTAGAGTTAGTCACTGGCACCTTATTTTTTCTGGTTAAACACGTTATTTTCTTTGATTATTCTTGATCCTTGTGTCATTCATGTTTTGATGTCTATGTATTGAAGACATTAGTAGTTATTCGTCTTTGCAGTCTACCTTTGTCTTGGCATGCTTTTCAACAGTAACCCTGTCTAGAAATTCTAGGCAGGCTTACTGTTGTGGTCCCTAAGCCCATGACCACTGTAGCCACTGCACTGCTAGAGGGTCCCCTAAGCACAAGACCACTGTGGCCAGCACAACTCCAAACTGGAATGCAAACCCCATCTACTGAGATCTGCCTATCACTGTGAGTTAATTGGTCAGAGCCTAAGGTCACTATAATCAGTCAGCAGTAATACAGGTTGGAACTCAAGTCCATCTCACAAGGACTATGGGCTCGTATCCAATACCAGTGTGAATCTAATGGCTTAGTCCACAGACACTGGCCTGGTGTCAGGAGTTTTGAATGTGCCTTGTGCTGGATTTTACTGTCACCAGTTCACCCCAACCAAATTCTCTCTCAGTACTGTTCTACCTTGGATTGGTAGGGATAACACTGGTTATGAAAAACTGTCTTTCTTGCCTGTAGTGGTATTATAGTTATATCTGAATGAAGAAACAGCTTGACTTAGTTTTTAGTTTCAAGGCCAAGAGTAGACTCAAACTCTGAGAACCACCTGTTCCTTCAGATGGCTCATGAAACTGTGCTCTCAAGCTAACCTTCACGCATACTTTTATTCAAACAATATCTCAAGCACCAATTGAGGAAGTCAAAGATAGGATCCACCGCCATCTCATCAGAGAACCATGCCCTTTGATCCCTAGGCCTAAAAAATCACACCCACACACAAACACACACACACACACACACACACACACACACACACTTCTCAATTATTCTCACTTTCATTGAGTATATACTGCTTTCAGTGCTTTGATATGTTAAACAAGCACACCCACATTCATTCACTATCATGGGCAAAGTGAGGTCCTGAAGGATTAAGTTCAGGAGCCCATGTCATAAGAGCACATGGCTCTGTGAGCTTGTTTGCATTATAAAGAGTAGCTTTTTGGAGCACAGTTAAATAAAAGTCGTCAGTCCAGATTCTGTCCACATTGAAAAATCATGCCTGCACCTGCCTTCAGTTGTTCTCCCTCCCTGACCTTGTGGTGTGCGTACATGTGTATATTGGGGGCGTGTGCATACTGTGGCCAGAGGACGATGTTGGGTGTCCTACTCTGTCACTCTCTGTCATATTCGCTTGAGACAAGGTTTCTCATTGAACTTGGAGCTAGGTTGATGGCTAGCAAACCCTAGCAAGCCTTCTGTTCTGTCCCCACAGCACTGAGGTTCCAGATGCATTGCAGACACACTTTGTTTTTATGTGGGTGCTGGGATTCGTACTCAGGTCCTCATGTTTGCAAGTGCTCACTCTCACCCACTGAGAAATCCCTTTAGCTGTTCTTCCCTTATTACCATCCTGTAACCAAATACTTTGTTCACTCACTGGTTTCTTTAGCTCTTGAAAAGGTACTTTTGTGCATAGTTGTTCAAAGTGATGCTTCTGTAGGAAGGACAATCTCCAGAGAGTCCTCTTGCACTGTCTTGCTCCGCTCATCTCCTTTCCCCGAGATGTTCATAATTCCTAAATAAAGTGATGATTTAAAATTTATTAGTATATATTAGTTATAGGAATGAGTTTCATTATGACATTTTCATACATGTACATAATGTTTCTGTCATATTTACACAACTCTGTCACCCTCTCTTGTCCCCTTCCACTTCAGCCAATCCCCTTTATCTTCCCAACTAGCCCCTCTTCTACTTTCATCTCTGTCTCTGTCTGTCTCTGAGAAAGAGAGAGAGAGAGAGAGAGAGAGAGAGAGAGAGAGAGAGAGACCTAATGAGTTTCATTAGCATTGTTGACAGGAGCATGGACGAGAGTTTGTTTAAAGAAGCGTGGGCACCTTACCCGGGGCTACACCATTAAAGGAAACCTCTCTTCCTCCTCCATCAACTCCTAACTGTG